TTCAGTAGTTTAACAGCAACAGGGTAAGGATGAAAAACTGGACCGCACAGATTAATACAATTAAAGATAAAATCAAAGATACAAATTAAAAATGATAAAATAACTATAAAATAAGAAATGAATTAAATTGAACATATATACATACTTGGCAGGGTTTCCGTTAGCCGGTAATTACCGTTTTTTAGCTGGTAAAATGTAATAAAAACCGGTAAATTCAAAACCTGCCGGTCAAAATGTCCGGTAATAATTAGGGATGCTCCGATCGATCAGGAGAGCTGGATCTGATCGATATGGACATAAACGCGAGTGAAGTATAACCGGACGCGAGAGAGAGATCAGATCAGCTGCTGAGTCTGACGGAGACACGCAGCTCTGATCACCTGAAGCCCCGCCCACTGTTTAGCGAGCTGCATGAGATACTGACGGGCTGTCGAGGCAGAGGCAGACAGGCTCCGGTTCTCCCGTGTTATTATTCAAAGTTAATGTAAACTTTTAAATAATGTACTTCATCTACTACAAGTAGTTTGTTTGAATGTAATAATTATGTTGTTTGTTGTTTGTGGAAGCGCATCATTTATTGAAAAATGAATCTGAACTTTTCGATCTGTTACGATTATAAACTGAAGCAATATAAAAATGACTCCCATTAACTGAGTTTTAAACATCAGCATATCCGGTCATAGTCCGGCAATTACCTGCTAACGGAAACTCTGCTACACAATACTTATTATTATTGAAACAGGACCGGTAAGTTTCAAATTTGTCCGGTAAAATAAATTATTTCCGGACATTTGACCGGCAAGAAAAAATCCTAGCGGACACCCTGATACTTGGTCATAAATACATATTAGATATGATATAACTTTATTAGATATCATATAACTTTATTAGATATGATATAACTGTTCCTCTCTGTTTCTGATCTCCCTGCAGCCGACCCCATCGCCCAGCTGCACCGCTGTTTCTGCAGGAAGCTTCTGGAGAGAGCCGTCCACACGCTGATCCAGCCGCAGAGCAACTCTGAAGCTGGAAAGCGCAACAACGACTCTGGGTAAGGCAGAGGGTGCCAGCAGTGTATTTGCATTTCAGCACTTCCAGGATCACTCGTCTCAAAGTCAATGGTTGTTTTGAACTTTTTATTTATTCCACAAATATATAACATACATGGAGATGTACATAAAAATCACACCCGCCTCAGTTTACAGTCCACTCAAATCTACACGTTATTGCTCACATACACACACACACATATACATTACCCCTTTCCTTACAAGTCTTGGCAAATTATACATAAATACAGACATTCATTTAAATTCTCTGACCTCTCCCTGGGTAGTCGGTACAGACAGGTATGCTTACAAATCCAAAACAGGTGCTTCAATGGTTTGTTTTTATGTGTGTTTGGGTTAGATGCCTGAAATACAGTAAGGTCTATGGTTAACACAAGCATACAATATTTTCATGTTTTGTCGTACGACATAAAATATGTCAGTAAATACCTCACTGGAGAACGTCCTCAAAACTGTGTTTGCTAACAAGTGTCTAAATGAATTGACTACACATCAACACAACCAAAATTAGCCACCTTTAGCTTAGCGGTGGTCATGTGATCGTGATGTAGTTCCTTTTAAGCCTACGTTACCTTTGGCAATTGCATTTACGCTTAAAAAATCACAAAATGTATCTTGTTTTCAGCAAAAATCCAAATTCCAAATGCAAAAAACCCCATTGGCTGTTTACAGAAGCAGCCTTGCGATGCTATCTCATGAATCGACCTTCAAAAAGACGTCATCATGGCACCACTCTATGACTTACCCTGGATCTGTGTGTCTCTTTCAGGGAGTTTTCCAGCGCCCTTGAGTTCCTGCAGTTGTTGAACAGCTGCACGGAGGACTCTCCCTCCTCTCCTCCTCCCTTCTCGACTCCTCCCAATCACACCACCACTCCAGGTATGAATAACACCAACAGAACAAACCCTGCCCAATCCAAATAAAGCATGAATCACATCGGATGTTGGCATGGAGGAAGACATTTCCACACATTTTCCTTAACTAAGTAACCACACTTATAACTGACGGCATGAAGCGATTTCTTCTCTTTTTGCTCCATTTACCGTTCGCTGACAAACAATTGGTCCTTTGGGATTCTCTTTTTATTTGAAGACATTGATTTTGCGGTAGTAAATGACTAGCGATTGATTTGAATACATTGGCAGTCTCCTCAGGCGATGCTAATTAACTTTCAGAGACGTTCTGCACACACACCTTTCTATCCCTCAAGAGACTGGGAACATCTTTTCACAGCTTCAAAAATATCTAGAGAGTGGAGCTATGTCCTTTTGTATTATTTAACATAGCTTTTATTTCAGTATTAGCAACCTACAAAAGCATATTCACACGTTTAGGTTGTTTGCCTTTTCTTCTTCAGCTGTATCCACATAATAATACATAAATAATTAAATACATACATCATAATAAAACAATTGGGGAGAACTGTGTATGGATGTGTGTGAGGAAGATGGAGGTACTGGTATGAGTCAGAAGGTGTGGCGATATGTTGTTTGCTTTGCTGTACGAGTATAATAACGGCAGAAGTCCACCTTTTTAAATAAATATCTGTTTAAAGTCTTCGTGCGTAAGCTATTTGTTTCATCAGATAGGTTTCCCACACCTTCTCAGCCAATAAATGACATGTTTCGTCGTCACAGATTAGATTAGATTTTTTGTCCCCAGGGGGAAATTCATTTTAACAGCACTGTAAATTAACACAATGTACATACAATATATAAATAATAATAATAATACACTTTATTTATATAGCACCTTTCATGCTTGACGCAGCCCAAAGTGCTTTACAGAGTATGACCAACAACAATAACACAGACAACAACAGTTAGCGACCATGGATGTATAATAAGAACTGGATACAGCGTGGGAGGCGGGGTCTCGTTCTTTCCTATGAGAGCTGCTCATTGGCACATGAGGACAAAATGGCCCAACTTTTGAGAGAGCGAAACGTCACAGATTACCCATCATGCCTAGCTGTCAGAGCAGAAGAACCCGTATGTGCGCTCACAGAGCATGCGCCCCTTAAGCCCCGCCCCCCGAGCTCCCACTCTCGGCTCAGTAGAATGAATGGAGAGAGAAAATAAATCTAGATTCCGCTTTTAGTGCATTTTACAACTTTAAGGACCGAATGATTATAATAAGGGCTATAAAATAGTTCATACTGGGTAGTTTATTTAGTTTTTTTTTAAATGATCCGCTGATTTACAGACGTCTCTTTCCCCATGTTAGTCAATGGGGAAAAGTCTTTCTGGGCCCAGTGACGTCACGGACTGATACGGAAGTTGTAGTACCGCCGTTTGGACACAACGAATATTTTCATCAGAGTCCGGCGCACTTCCTGGGGGCTTGTTCGCGACACACATGGCAGTTAAAGCATAGGAACTTTAATGGCAGTGAGCATATTGAAAAAGCCTAATTCACTTAATGGTGATACATTTAATTGTATTTGTAATTGTTAGTAATATTTGTAAAATATATGTCCTATGTCTTCCATCAATGCCTTCCTGTATTGTCTGTTTTCATTCTTGATTTGTTACACACCTTTCCTCTCTCCTTCCTGTCAGTTGGAGACCCGGTGAGCCGCTGGTGGGCGTTGGTCCTGAAGGCGGCTGTTCATTGGCTGCAGGGCGACGACGTCTCTGTGAGGTCACTGCTGGCAGAAGCAGAGCGGATGCCCAGGGCTCTGCACACTCTGGAGTAAGTCAAGCAAAACCTGTTCTTATTTATTCGTTTATTTGGGAGGGACATTAATGAACACTTAAAACATGAAATATACCAAGTGTAAATATGCTGGATTTAGCTTTGAGCTACTTTCCATCCGCAGTCCCTCACATGAAACATTAAGAAAATGAAAATTACAAACATAGCAGTACAAATACATAAAAATGCAAGAGTAAGTAAGAGTAGAATATCCAAGTATTTAGGACACGGTAATACAAAATAGCAGCATCGATACATGAAGTGCCAGAGAGGATACCCCTGTGTTAAAGTGCATTTAGCGGTGATCGCACGTCTGTTGGTTTCTCAACCATTCTTTGAGTTGACCTTTAAAACTATTGAGAGTATCTCCGTTGGGAGGCTATTCCACAATGAGCTGCCTTTTCTCTTTCAATGTTTTTTAAATTTTATTTTCAGCTGAGACAATACAAGAAACATTAGGGACAACACAACATAATAAAACCCACAAAACAATAACAACAAACAGCAACAGTAGCAACCTAGTACTCACTCACTTATCATGTTATATTTAAGCCCACAGTTATAACCCTTGACCATTCCTCCTTGTTCAATTAGGTCCAAATATGAACAAAACACAACGTCCTGCACTACAAAACAGAAACTAGAATAAGCGATGTGAAGGTGGAGCATCCTTTCTTCAGCGGGATTAAATTGTTGAAGACTGCAGGACATTTTTAGCTGAACAAGATCATCTTAAATCAGAGACATGGGTGTCGTTATTATCCAAAATCTGCTTAAATCATATTAAATAGTGCCATACAGACAAAACGTACACTACTGTAACCCGTGCACTTATTCAACTCTGCAATACTAATAACACTGAGGATTATTATTGTATTTCTGTCATAAAACCTTATTTCCCACCCAAATAAATAATGATAACTTAGCACGGGAGCATCTGTTAACCTTCTCTCATCTGTGTATTTCACACATCTTGGATAAATTAAACTGGTATTGCATTAGAGATGAATCTTTATAGTAACCGTCCTCTCTCCCCTGTTCTCCCTCCTCTCTGCTCCAGCCACCCTGTGCCTAAGTCCGTGCTGCTGCTCTGTAAGGCCGTTCAGATGAGTCTCTCTCCTCTGAAGGGCGAGGGAGCGATGGCCTGCTTGTCTCACTGCGACAGAGCAAGCAGCTTCTTGCGCTCCAGCATCTCCGTTCCCCTCGCTCAGACCGGAAACTATCTCAACAAGGTAGGGGACACAGGACCACTCACTACCCTCCCTCATACTGTAAAGAGCCTTTGAGTTCCAGAAAAAGCTTAATTATGTTCTCTTATCTGCTTACGAACAAGGCTGGGCATTACATCGATATCATGATAGGAGAGTCGATTTGGGGTTGATGAGAAGTACTTCATCATATCGTATAAGCATATCATGTGTTTTTATTGTAAAACTAGTGACTATGAATGGGAAGTAAATTTAGTAAAAGTAAAAAGTACAATAGCTGCCTCTTGAATGTAGAGAAGTAAAATATAAAGTAGCATAACATGGAAATACTCATGTGCAATTATGTCATAATGGTAATTAAGGTGTGTGTGCAGTGTGTGCAGTGTGTGCAGTGTGTGCAGTGTGTACAGTGTGTACAGTGTGCAGTGTGTATGACAGGAGGTGGCTGTGGTGCATTGTAGTTGCATTGCATGGTCCTGATGACGAGTGCAATGTGTCTGCAGTGCAACACAGAGGCCTCTCCAATCTGCACACACCACACACACAGTGTACACAGTGGGTGAGATGTTGCTTAATTTTAGGATTGCATGTTGGGTGAGGTGTATGGGTTAATCAGAATCAGAATACTTATTTATCTAGTGGGACATTTGGGTTTCGTGACAGTCGCTCCATTTTAGAACTGTTAAAAAACTTACATCAGGGTTACCATACAGGTAGAGCTGTCGATCGTTGTGTAAAGGCACACAAATATCCTTAAAATAACATCAAAGTACTTAAATAAACATAAGAAGTTGAAGTAAAATGTTCAATAAAAGATCAAATGAAATGAAAATCTTGCTAAGTAGTTAGTTAAGAATGTGAAATAAAAAACTAGAGATATTTTTATGAAAATATAATATAATATAATTTCCAATGATGCATCTTTATGTAAACGCACCAAACGTTGTCTTCTCTGTCTTTTAAGGGTGTGGAGCTCCTGATCTGTGACCTCCTGCTGACCTTGAGGACCAGTGTGTGGCAGCGGGGGGGCAGCAGTAACGGAGAGCCCGGTCTGGCCCCGGGGTCCCAGCTGTCCGGCTTCCAGAAGGACCTCAGCGCGCTCCGAAAGCTCACACAGTGCTACAGGCAGGCACAACACAAGGTAAACACGCTTAAGAGGTTGACCAATCACAACAGAGCCGGCCAGCTAACCAATCAGAGCAGACTGGGCTCTGGTTTCAGACAGAGGGTGAAAAGAGGTGCTGCAGCACAGGCAGTATGAGAAAAATAAAGAGCTTTTTGAACATTAAAGCATGGAGACATGTCAGAGTAGAGACACTACATACTGATATACACCTGAACATCAGCAGGAGAGGACTCTTTAAAGTAGAGACACTACATACTGATATACACCTGAACATCAGCAGGAGAGGACTCTTTAAAGTAGAGACACTACATACTGATATACACCTGAACATCAGCAGGAGAGGACTCTTTAAAGTAGAGACACTACATACTGATATACACCTGAACATCAGCAGGAGAGGACTCTTTAAAGTAGAGACACTACATACTGATATACACCTGAACATCAGCAGGAGAGGACTCTTTAAAGTAGAGACACTACATACTGATATACACCTGAACATCAGCAGGAGAGGACTCTTTAAAGTAGAGACACTACATACTGATATACACCTGAACATCAGCAGGAGAGGACTCTTTAAAGTAGAGACACTACATACTGATATACACCTGAACATCAGCAGGAGAGGACTCTTTAAAGTAGAGACACTACATACTGATATACACCTGAACATCAGCAGGAGAGGACTCTTTAAAGTAGAGACACTACATACTGATATACACCTGAACACCAGCAGGAGAGGACTCTTTAAAGTAGAGACACTACATACTGATATACACCTGAACATCAGCAGGAGAGGACTCTTTAAAGTAGAGACACTACATACTGATATACACCTGAACATCAGCAGGAGAGGACTCTTTAAAGTAGAGACACTACATACTGATATACACCTGAACATCAGCAGGAGAGGACTCTTTAAAGTAGAGACACTACATACTGATATACACCTGAAGAGGACTCTTTAAATAAAAGGTATTATTATTTATTGTTAAAGGATTGAACAGAGATGCAACATGTCTTTCGTTCTGGTTCTACATTCTGAAGAGAAGCATCATTGAAATCCCTTCACTGCAGCAGTACTAACAACCCTTAAATCCTGACATTACAACAAGGCATTTCTAGATAACTGCCAAGGATGTATCCTTCTGACCTTAATTATACTGCATTTCCTGCAGCAATGTGGGAACGTTCACCAGTAGATTCATAACTATGATTCATTTATCCCTCTTTAAATCTCAGAAATATGGATAAATGCCTAAAACAAGATGTTAAATCAGCTTTCATCGTCTCAGCCAAACTAAACGAATTCATCCACGTATAATGATGACATAATATCGTGAAACAGGCAGCTCTCCAGGTCTGATGATCTGTATCAAGCTTTACACTAAAAGTAATAATACCCACAATATGTTGCTGGCACGTCAACGTCAGCTCTGATGATAAGCCTGGGAATCAGCAGAGAGAGACCTGATCATCTGGATCCTGATGAAACTCAGTTTACTGAAGTTCCCTCCCGCTCTGCAGAAATCTCACCGCGGTTTAAAACATCATCAATCATACTTTATTTTACGGGAGGAGTCATTACTGCAGCCGGAGGGTCTTCAACGACTCCTGCTCTCACTTCATCCGTTCTGTTTTGACTTGTTCAAGACGCTTGAAATGAAGTGACTTCAGTCGTGAGAAATATTGGGAGAAGTACTCGGAACATTTAAAATAGAAAATACTATGGTTTTAAAATACTCCATTACAAGTAAAAGTCCTGATTATAAGGAAAGGCAAGTCTATTTATATTCAATGTGCTTTATATATATATAAGAGAATTAGGATTTATTGAAACAGAAACACACGTTAAAGAAATCCATTAAACAGCCAAGAGAATAAAGTAAAAATTAAACTAACTAAAGTAGAATATGAAGTTTAGTTACAGTAGATAACAGTTTGTTTCCGGAAGAATTTCAGAAGAATTTCAACTGCTTTTAATGTGTAATTAATGTTGTGTTTTATATATTTGAAGTGTGTTGTTTTAATAGTGTTTTTATGAGTATTTTTTTTTACTGTTTAAAGTGTCTTTGAGTTTCTAGAAAAGCGCTCTATAAATACAATTATTATTATACTTGAAATGTTGCAGGCTTCTATGCATGCAGATACAAATAGAAACTAAATAAATAAAAGCAGTAATAGCAGCAAAGAGAAGAATACTAAATATATATAATAATAGTTAAATGTTATTTAATTTTCACAGTGAATAGGTACAGAGAAGGATCAATGTGTTTCTGCTTCCCTCACACAAACACCTGGACGATGACAATCAATGCAGCTCTGATGTGTTTGTGTTTACCTTGCAGGTGTTCCTCCATGAGACCACAGTGAGGCTGATGGCAGGAGCGAGTCCCACACGGACCCACCAGCTGCTGGAGCACAAACTCCGACGCAGGACCCCCAACTCACTCACAGCCGGTGAGGAGACTCAGGACACACGTCATGTCACAAAATGTTATCCACACACACAAAACTTAAAGGTCACCTATTATGCAGAATCCACTTCTTCATGTCTCTTCTACATCAACATGTGTCCCCTCTTCTTCATGTCTCTTCTACATCAACATGTGTCCCCTCTCATGTCTTCTCATCAAATGTGTCCCTCTTCTTCATGTCTCTTCTACATCAACATGTGTCCCCTCTTCTTCATGTCTCTTCTACATCAACATGTGTCCCCTCTTCTTCATGTCTCTTCTACATCAACATGTGTCCCCTCTTCTTCATGTCTCTTCTACATCAACATGTGTCCCCTCTTCTTCATGTCTCTTCTACATCAACATGTGTCCCCTCTTCTTCATGTCTCTTCTACATCAACATGTGTCCCCTCTTCTTCATGTCTCTTCTACATCAACATGTGTCCTCCTCTTCTACATCAACATGTGTCTCCTCTTCTTCATGTCTCTTCTACATCAACATGTGTCTCCTCTTCTTCATGTCTCTTCTACATCAACATGTGTCCCCTCTTCTTCATGTCTCTTCTACATCAACATGTGTCCCCTCTTCTTCATGTCTCTTCAACATCAACATGTGTCCCCTCTTCTTCATGTCTCTTCTACATCAACATGTGTCCCCTCTTCTTCATGTCTCTTCTACATCAACATGTGTCCCCTCTTCTTCATGTCTCTTCTACATCAACATGTGTCCCCTCTTCTTCATGTCTCTTCTACATCAACATGTGTCCCCTCTTCTTCATGTCTCTTCTACATCAACATGTGTCCCCTCTTCTTCATGTCTCTTCTACATCAACATGTGTCCCCTCTTCTTCATGTCTCTTCTACATCAACATGTGTCCCTCTTCTTCATGTCTCTTCTACATCAACATGTGTCCCCTCTTCTTCATGTCTCTTCTACATCAACATGTGTCCCCTCTTCTTCGTGTCTCTTCTACATCAACATGTGTCCCCTCTTCTTCATGTCTCTTCTACATCAACATGTGTCCCCCTCTTCTTCATGTCTCTTCTACATCAACATGTGTCCCCTCTTCTTCATGTCTCTTCTACATCAACATGTGTCCCCTCTTCTTCATGTCTCTTCTACATCAACATGTGTCCCCTCTTCTTCATGTCTCTTCTACATCAACATGTGTCCCCTCTTCTTCATGTCTCTTCTACATCAACATGTGTCCCCTCTTCTTCATGTCTCTTCTACATCAACATGTGTCCCCTCTTCTTCATGTCTCTTCTACATCAACACGTGTCCCCTCTTCTTCATGTCTCTTCTACATCAACACGTGTCCCCTCTTCTTCATGTCTCTTCTACATCAACACGTGTCCCCTCTTCTTCATGTCTCTTCTACATCAACATGTGTCCCCTCTTCTTCATGTCTCTTCTACATCAACATGTGTCCCCTCTTCTTCATGTCTCTTCTACATCAACATGTGTCCCCTCTTCTTCATGTCTCTTCTACATCAACATGTGTCCCCTCTTCTTCATGTCTTTTCTACATCAACATGTGTCCCCTCTTCTTCTTGTCTTTTCTACATCAACATGTGTCCCCTCTTCTTCATGTCTCTTCTACATCAACATGTGTCCCCTCTTCTTCTATATCTGAGACCTATAATATATTGATGAAAAACAGTATAATAGGAGACCTTTAAGACGGGAAGTTGACTTGACTCCCGGCTCAGAATCAGTTCCCCTGTGGGTGTTGCTAATCATAAAGAAATAGTTCAGATATTTGAAGTAAGGTTTTATGAGGGACTTTCAATAGTCACTGTATTACTTACAAAAAAAGGCAGTGATTGGACGCTGAGTTTGGAGAAACAGACAGGAGTTAGGGCACTGAAACAAAGCAATGTACTTCTATGTACACCAATTTTATATTCAAAAATAAAAAGCATATTCTTAAACTGTTTTTTTACTGGCAAAAACCACCATCTACCTTAACGTAACGCATCGTGTCTTAAAGTATCTTAACATATATTACATCTTAACGTATATTGAATCTTAACGTATCATATCGTATAGTTTCTTAAAGTATCTTAACATATATTACATCTTAACGTATATTGAATCTTAAAGTATCATATCGTATAGTTTCTTAAAGTATCTTAACATATATTATATCTTAACGTATATTAAATCACAAGTCACTCACAGCCGGTGAGGAGACTCTTAACTCATTTTGATTACACATATTATTGTCATTGTCACAACATTTGTATCCACACACACAAAACTTGTTAATCATAAAGAAATAGTTCAGATATTTGAAGTAAGGTTTTATGAGGGACTTATCCATAGTCACCTTATAACAATAAAAGGTGGTGAGTGCACTCTCATTTTGGAGAAACAGACACGAGTTACGGCACTGAAGCAAAGCAATGTTCTGCTGTGGATAAGGGTAGAACGAACACGTATTTTTGCCACCTAATAAAAAGACCTACCTAAAATGATCAGTATCAGTTTAAATGTATGCATCATTTAAGAATATTTTCATACAGCCCTTTTTTCCCTGTTCTCACCAATGTCACCAGACTCCATTGAAAATAACTATAAATTACATTTGGAGAACACAGGAGTTACTAGTCTACCGCTGCCTTTATCTGTTAGTTGGTTTGTGTTAACCCTTTATAACATCAAAAGTCACACAATAACACAAACGCACCTAACGTTTTAGGCAGGGACAGAGCAGCAACTTCCATATCATCATTCTTAACGTATCGCATCGTACCTTAATGCAACTTAACAATATCTTAACGTATATAAGCATGTCGTATCCACTTAAATGTAAGCACACACTAGAAGTAACTGGTCTCTAACCTGTACTCTTCTTCCCCTCCTCCCCCCTCAGAGGGAGTCCTGGGTGAGAGAGAGAGGGCTCACGCCATCCTGCTGGCCTGCCGCCACCTCCCCATGCCGCTGCTGACTCCACCCGGGCACCGTGCCCGCCTGCTGGCCGAGGCCAAGCGCACCCTGGAGCGGGTGGGAGACCGGCGCTCCCTGCAGGACTGCCAGCAGATCCTGCTGCGCCTCAGCGGGGGCACCACCATCGCTGCCTCCTGAACACACACACACACTCACACACACACACTCACTGCAAGAACACACACACATTAGGCTACTTTGCATTACATGAAGTAATTTGTGTTCATGCAGACAATGATAAAACCTGGCTACTCTTCCATAACAAACATGCAATTTGGTAACAGTTACTCATTCACTAATCGAGGACTATTCTCTCACACAAACAAACACACACACACACACACACACATACACATACATATACACAAACACACACTGCAAGAACACACACACACATACATTAGGGCTACTTAAAATACAAATATGTAATTTGCGTTCATGCATACAATGTTAAAACCAGGCTACTGTTCCAGAACCACATGTCATTCTATAACTATCACTCATTTCTCTAATTAAGGACTTTTTTATATATATACACACACACACACACACACACACACACACACACACACACACACACACACACACATATTAGAGTACAATAAACTCTGTCATTAGCGTTCATGCGTACAAAGATGAAACCAGGCTACTCTTCCATAAACAACATGTTATTCTATCTAGGATATTTCTCTCACACACACACACTTTTACTGTCACTGCATCCACATCCCAGCTTCAACACTTATGCTCCACACGGTCTCATTTTGATGCTTCGTTTTACAATAACGCTGCCACCTTCTGGACATTAACGGCACCACGCTGGCTCATTTCTAACGAGGCTGAGGGAAATCAGGTTAAACTGGCCCCCCGAGGTAAAAAAGGGACCGTTATCTAATCGCTGTTTTTTTTTAATGAATGCAATGTAGCGGTGGTGCATTGATTAGCTGTAGGATCCCACGCCGTACAATCATTATTAGCACCATGTGAGTGCTACAGTAATGTCTCATTCAACTTGCAAGCTTCATTTAACGGCGGAGGAGGAGTGAAGGTGTGTGGATCGCTTGCTTTTAAACAATACAGTGCTGAGTAGTGTCTCTTCCTATCTACCTCATACAATGCCAGCACTGTAAAGTGGAGTAGGATTCCAGGTATGAATTAAGTTACTATTTGATGCTTCAATCCAATGCAGCTTCATTATTTGAAAACCTTGCAAAGCTGCTTTATTTTAGGGTGCAGCAGTGCAGCACCTTAGGAATGTGACTTGCCGTGGCAGAAACTGCAACACACTGTAACACATGAAAAGAAACGGGAAGAATAATTGGATTTGCAGACATGGAAATTGAAATTCCCACACACACACACACACATTTCAGAAGTTGCATATATGTTAAATTAATTGCATACACAATGTGATTGTATATAGGTTGTACATAAGCAGATAAGGAAGAAGAAGTAGATTAAACGGGAAGTTGTTACTTCTGCTTGAGAGGAGACGCACATCGGAGAAAGCGCAGAGAAATGTCGAATTTGGCTCAGAATTTATTTCCTGTCAGAGTCTGACAGTAGAGCAAGGTCATCTGCCTCCGCCTTAAAGTGATACTCCAACCAAGACGTCTTTTCATTATCAAACACTCGCCTGCTGCGGCCTTCAAGTGTATTGAGCTGAATCTGGGCCATAAGTTTTGATCATTCGGAGAAAAAAAAATATGTCAAATACTTATTTCTAGTATGAAAACATTGTGTTTTTCAAAGTTCCGGGTCAAAACTCGAACTTTGAAATGCACACAATTTTTTCGGATGATCAAAACGTTTGGCCCAGATTTAGCTGTGGCTTCAAAAATGGTTTTAGCCGCAAAAGAAATGCAGAAAAACGTAGATATTGTCATTTCTTCAAAGCCCCGTTGAGCCGACAGGCAGCGAGTGTCTGATACTCAAAAGACGTCGTATCACTTTAAGAAAAGTCCGAGCTAGAATGAACTGAACACAGTGATAAAGTGAGGAAGGATATTTCTTTGAAGTGATGTGACGCTCTCAAGCTCAATGGCCTTGATGTAAAGAATTATTTTAATATGTTTCATCATGTCCCGATGATGGAGGAAATCTTTGTCCAATATGCTTTTTTTTTTTATTTGTAATTGTTGACTTACACGAGACATTCCTGTTTCGGTGCTCTGTTGTTTTTTTTTCTTATTTAATGGTTATGTAAAGTTATTATAAATGCTTTTTTCCGGCGCGAGGGGAAGGGAGCAGTCTTTTATTGTTGTTTTATTTTCCATAAAAGCAGCCTCGGGTCAGAAGGAAAGTCAAACGGGAAGCATTTTATTGAAACTAGCAGAAAACAATTTATATTTTAGACTCACTCGTTATTTTTTTTAAATGCAGGCATGTGTGCTATTAGCCCAGGACTCTGTCTTCCAGGTAAACCCAACATATAAAATAGCAACCTAAGGAGTCCGTAAAAAATACTGTTTAGGAGTTTAGATTATGTATTTTGGCAGATAAAAGTATGCAAAGAAGAACGCAATGCTCAGCTATTATTATAATCATGTTACAATTGTTTTTGTCTTTCCCCTTTTTATATGTTTTACCATCTTAATTTTTGTGTTCATTTTGATGTTTGTTTTGTAATAAAACAACACATGACAGTGGCTGGTGTGTGTTATCTCTGTGTGGTTTCAACCTTTAAATAGTTTCAGTATCCTATGGGGATAAAGTCATTTGACCATGTGTAATATGGGTTTAATAGTTCTGTTACATGGGTGTAGTATGGGTCTAATAACAATGTAATCACGGTGTAATATGGCTCGAGTAACATGGGTATAATAAAATTTTAATGAGGGTGTAGTATGGGTCTAATAACAATGTAATCATGGTAGTATGGCTCGAGTATCATGGGTATAATAACATTTTAATGAGGGTGTAGTACGGGTCTAATAACAGTGTAATCACGGTGTAAAATGGCTCGAATAACATTTCAACATGGGTGTAACGAGGGTAAAAGTTATCACAATATGAAATCGTAAAATAGTATGTTCTTGCTTTTCCTCTGAACATGTGGGTTGTGTAAATATGCAAGGCAAGTTTATTTAGCACATTTCGACACAAGGCTTTACAAAAATGAAAGACATTAAGAGAAACATATTATAAAAACACTCATTTAAAAGCAAAGGTACATGAATTAAAGTGACAGTGCGGTTTGAGATACACACATCTGAAATGTTTAGCTCTGACTCTCAATCATTGCTGACTTTTTAGCAGAAATAGTTTTCTATCACCTCCCTTTCTTTCTACTTTGTTGTTTAACTTGTCCTTTAGTTATTTCAAGTGTTTCATGCTAAACGAACCCCCCTTTGGAAAATTCTAATCTGACCCCATGGTACCTTTTAGTTTTCGCCGCAACTATGACTCTTTTTTTTAAATGCACATATGATGATTGCTGTGTCACATATATTAGTTTCCTGTGATGAACAGTGGACACCTCAGTGTAAATGAAACACTAGCAATAATTCACAGAGAGGTGTCAGGCCTGAGGAAATAATGAGTCCCTGCCACATGGAGGGAGTGGAAAACAAAAGTTGTCAGAGGAGTCGGGACAGTGCAAGTACCAAATTAAGAAATATCAAATACATGGGTGAAGGCTGCAAGCATAATTATATCATGATAAACTAACGATGTGACCCCATTTGTGTTGGTATCACATTCATTTTCATTTTGGCTATAACTTAAAAATATAGGGGTGACCTGATCTAAAATAGCAATAACAATAGCCACTCTTTAAACAAGGAAGGATATAAACAAAAGAGAGATATGTCTACACTTATTATAGTCCTATATTACTTAATTACAAGTAAGCTCTGAACTCAAAAAGTTAGTAAAGTAGAGGTACAGAAGTCGTATGTCTTATTTTTTTAGATTATTATAGAATATTATATTATCCTGTTTGTATCACCAACAAATACATAAAGCATGTTAATGTTCTGTTTTGTGTAAGTAAGTATAAAGTAATATAAAATAAAAGATCGTTAAGTTGTCCTAAATGTTCATGGCGTGCGGAACGTTGAGCTTCGAACTACATGTTTCTAGTCGGACATTTCCAATAGACCTTCCAGAACCAGAAGCCGGAAGTAGCGCAGTGTAAACTCACGTGTGCAACATGAAAAATCTTAAAAAACACAACAACAATGCCAAAAATGGTAAATTTAAGCCCGGATCCAAGAAAAGAGAGAACAAATGCATCGTGTCGTTTGACGCCAACGACAGACAGTAAGTGAATTAGCAGTACAGAGGTTAGCTAGCATATTAGCATTAGCCTTCATGTACCAAACGTAATAACAATTCTAACTAATATGTGTGTTAGTATGTAACACATTGCAATGGTATCTACAATATGTCACATGTGCAGGTTGTAATGCCAGAATAGAAGCAAACAAGTGCAAATGTATCAAAATATCTCAACAGTATCGACAAATATAGCTTTTTCCCAAAACAACGATTACTTATAACCAAATAAAGCTTACTAAGACAAGTTATGTTTACGACTATTCAGTATACAGTGAAATATCAACAATTTGATCATCGTATTGTTGTTCCAAGCTGTTTTCGTAGTAACGATGTGTGATCAGTAATTTCATGGATTAGTTGTGGATGTAGTTTTTGACAATTGGTGAATCAGTATTTATTTTTAATTCAATGATGTTCAAGCTGAAATTGTGAGAAAAGTCCAATATTTTCTGAATCCAGACTCTCAAATTCTTTGTCTTGTATCATTGTAAACAATATTTTTGAGTAACTAGAGTGTTGGCTCTTGGAAATTATAATGGCCATTTCTTTTATGTTTCATGGACAAAAAATGAGAGTCAATATAATGAAAGAATACAGTTGTGGCAGCCCTAGAATAAAGTGTATATTATACTGTTTGAATTTGAGGTTTCATTATTTTAAAAAAAACACGCCAGTCCAACTTAGATTTTGTTATAATGACTGTCATGTGTATTTTATGCTACACAAACAGGCAGAGACTTTAAAAGGTGACATGTTTCTTTAAGTTTGTCTAATTCTGCTTCTGCCAGAGATTATCTAACGGGTTTCCATAAACGTAAAGTGGAAAGGAGAAAGGTAGCAGTGTCGGAAATCAAAAAGAAAATCAAGGAGGAGCAGATCAGAGTCCGAGAAGAAGTAAGTGTGACATAAAAGACCACACGCTTCAAATCTGTCTTGTGAATGAATAAAGTATTTACTGATGACATGTTTGACTATCTGCTTTCAGAGGCATAAGGAATACCTAATGCTGCTGAAGGAGAGGACAGATGCTCTAGGTGAGTTAACCTGTTAAGCCCTGAGCCTGTTTTTCAGACCTGGTCTTTTTACTGATTCATAACACTTGATAATCTGGATTTACTGAATATTTTTCATTTCATTGAATCTCTCAGAGGAGTGCGAGCAGTGCGAGGAGGATGATCTGGAAGATGTGATTACCGCGACAACCGAGTCTGTGCAGTACGATCACCCCAACCACACGGTCACCGTGACAACCATCAGTGATCTTGACCTCTCAGGAGCTCACCTGCTCGGACCCGCAGAAACGGAGGTAAACTACAAAGCCTCAATTCGTCTTAACAGCTGTTCTTAATCAGGTCCAATGATACTGGTTTAACTGCGTATAGCTCCATGTGGTCTCTCTGGAAGTCATGGATACTTTACATATTTAGGGGGAATGATACTGATGCCAATACAACTCCTCTAACACTGAGAATCTTTTCTTTTCCAAGGGCGACGAGGAGGGCAAGGAGGAGGGCAAGAAGGAGGGCAAGGAGGGCAAGGAGGAAGAAGAGGAATTGAGGGAGGAAAGAAGACCAATGCCAAGGAAATCTGGGAATCCAATCATGAACAAAAAGTAAGCTGTTCATCATCATGAGGTTTTTATTGTGTTGTTTGTTCAGACATCACTTTGGGCTCTGTCACCTTGTCTGTATATTTTTCAATTGTTTTATTTATATTCAGTTTTACAGATAAGGCCATGCAGAGAAAATGTTTGTGTTTTTCAAACAAAAGTACAAAGGACAAGAGAGTAAATCATACAAATGAATATAATTAAAAAAGGGGATCACAGTGATTAACACTCACAACATTTGTAAAGGTTTTAGAAAGAACAAAGCTTTAAAAAGGGGAGAGTCCATTTGGTTTAAAACTGTGAAAGATTCATTGGTGCGATTTGTCCAAAGATAATTACACAAACACAATGTCTAAGCATTTAATATGAGATTTAAAACTTAGTAAACGAAGCCACATATTCCAGGGTTCTTATGGTCATTGAAAACCTGGAAAAGTCATGGAAATTCAAAATGCTAATTCCAGGCCCTGGAAAAGTTATGGAAAACAATATTTTTCCCAAAGTTTCGGAAAAGTCATGGAAATGTAACTAAAGTTGCATCAAATATAATTTATATTTTATCTAATCGCTGAAATAGTAATACTTTAATGATAATAAATACTGTATCGTATAGTAATGAAACGTAAAATGGCATTTAACTGACGAGGTATTTTGCTAGTGAGAGATTTTAGTAGAAGCTAGTAAGTCTACTATTTGATTTGTTTTAGATAGGCACAACATGTTTCATATGCAGACCTTATTTTCCTGTTCCCTGTTAAAATAAACCATTTTCAGTGGTACGCTGAGAAAGAGTATTTTTTTTGGTCATGGAAAATTAGGTAAAGGTCATGGAAAAGTCATTGAAAATCATTGGTGAAAAAGTGTATGAACCCTGATATTCTCATATTTGTCGGCACTTCAACAAAGTATATACCTGAATTTCATTAGTTTTAAAGACTGTATCTCTTACCCATACTTTAATTATACAGTGTATTTCTTCAGTGGAACATCTGTACGTTTTGAAAATACATTTATAGTGGTAGAATAATTGAGAACAGAGCAAGTATTTTGGACCTTTTTACGGATTAAATTGTGTACAACACATCAGATAAATGCTCATTCTGAGTCAGTGGTGACACGACGTCCTTCTTCAGATGTTTTTTCCATTTGTCTGTGCGTCTTCCTCCAGCTGCTCTCTCTCACTCCAGCTGCATTTCTTTTTGTTCTCCTCTCTCCCGCTGCTACAGGATCCGCTCCCTGAATAAGTCGCTCACCAGGTTCACCGCCAAGAAGCAGAAGAGGAAAAGCCGAGTGACGAGTGAGAAGAAGAGCGGCTCGTCGGAGGGTAAAAAGAAGGTTACAAAAAGAGGCAAGTGGCAGAGACGGAGACTGACCGGGAAAAAGCTCCACCATCAAAATGAGTGAAAGGGTTGGAACTGGTGGAGAGACTTCTTGTGTCAGGATCCCGTAGAGGAAAAAAATGGACTTTGAAGTATTGAAGCTCCTGTGTTCGAGCAGGATGTGTATATTCTGCAAAATGTGGAAACACAAGCTAATGTGGACGCCCACTGCGGGACAAGTTCCTTCTGTACCTGCCTCTTGAAATCCTGTGCAAAAACTGTTTTTGTAGTGTCATTTCTTTAACGTTTACTGTATTTACCTGCATTTTCACTAATAAAAGACTGCTAACAAGTGACCTTGTGATGCTCAAACTGTCAGTGTGCTCCGTGTGGAATTTTCGTCTTTCTATTGTTTGATAGGAAACCTGACGCTGTAGTCAACATCCTCTGCAGAGCATC